CTTCTTCTGTTCGAAATCAAATACTTAAACGAATCAAGCAGACCGACCCGTATACTAGTGAATTCACATGCAAAGCTCGTATGGACATGCATTTCTATTATTAATAGTTTGTAGATAATGATACAAGATTACTATTTTTACAGTAGTTGGGAAATAATGACGAATACACTCAAATATACGCAAATAAAATGAACGTTTGGCCAAATATAGTACTAAATGAAAGAAAGCATTGAATCCAACGGTTATTCAACCAAGGCTGTACAGGAGAGGGCTGCTGCGGACCAGCTAACGTTAGCCCTGGCTGCGGTTAGCCTTCTTCTTCATTGCGGGATTTAATGGCGACTGGCAAACAGCTTAAGTGCACATTACCACCACCTACCGGTGTGGTTTGTGGAACAAAATGCCAGTGTTCTAGCTAATGTATTTTACCTGCTTTACTTTTATATCCTATATATAATCAAATTACATATCTATCTGATTTAAATACTACTTTTTATGAACAATTTCCTAAACTTTGATGTTTATTTTTTTATTTAATAAAATCCTGCAATTGCCCCTTTTATTTATCAATGTTATTTCATTTTCTAACCTATCCATATATTAATGAATCCACTATCCATTTACTATTAAACATCTTGAATTATTTTGCATAATTAACACCTTGAATAATATCCCTATACCTCTGTTCATCCATCCATCTCCAACCTTAAACTATTTTTCCCCATCTAACTTCTTTGACTCCCTAAAACTTTTCTTGTCCTATGACAATGATTCTGATTTTCTCTCTCATGCTTCGTCTGTATAGTTAAAAACCTATGCTATGAATAAAATTAGTTTCTCTGCTGTTGGAGTCAAGTTTTCTCTTTCTACTTTATTTGGCTTTTGTTCCTGATCCCTTGCTTGGTTCATTTCTCCTGTCTTTTGTTCTTGAACTCTCTTTTCTGCTTCTGCCATACATTTCTGAACTTAAAATTGCCCCTGCATAGTTTAGCCACATTGCACCCTACACTATACGCTCTTGGATTTCTTCAGATTGTTTAAATCTTTTACTAAAGTTAGGGATTTTATCACAAATGTTATATGCCAAGTCAAGAGGTGGGGTGTTCTTAAACTGTGAAAGTGAAATCACCTCTTTCAGATATTCTTAAAAATGTTGCTTATATTCATATATTTAATAAATGCAGGTGCATAATATTACTGCCATTTTGCAGATGTACTTGATAAGAACACAACTTCCTTGGGAAGAACAGGGGCCTGCAGGACAAATCTGTCCACTGGAATAAAAGCAGAAACTTTCAGTTTTTCCGTCTCTTTATTGGAGTTTTGTCCATTCAGTGGTTTTAGATCTTTAAAGTCAGCAGTGTGTGAGAGGTGCTTTGTTTTCCTAAAACAGGCTCGGCTCTCCCTGTGTGCCTGACAGGAACACGTCTCTCTCATCGTGTTCATCAGAGTCCAGGAATGGCTGCTCATCAAATGTCCTTGTGCATCCAGAAGATGGGAGCTCCTCTGGCGTCTCTGTAGGGAGTTTCTGTTAAAGTCTGAACTAAAGGCTGTCCTGCAGACAGAAGGGGAGGAGGAGGAGGTGGGGTTGGGATGGAGGAAGGAGGAGGTGGGGGAGGAGGGAGTTGTAAACTAGAAGGTGGAGGTGACCCTAAAACGGGAGCACCTTCTGAGTTTTCTATTTTTGTCAGAGTTTGTCCTCCAGGGTTTGTCTCCTTGTTTGCCGCTCTGGAAAGTCTCTGCAGCATCCCCTCAGGAAGGAGCGCCATCACAGCCCCAGCGCTCTGCACCGGCGTGGAGAGGACATAGCCAAGGTGGGCGTAGAAGTGCTGCTTGTCGTGAGTCGTCAGGCAGAGACGCTTGAAGCCTCTGCGTTTAGCGTAGAGCTCAGTCTCCTCCATCAGAATCCGTCCATAACCCTTCCCCCGCTCCTGTTTGGACACGACTACTGACTCCACAAACAGGCTGCTGCTGTGACCCACGACCCGGGAAAGGCGGGCGTGTCCCAGGAGCCTCTCCTGTGGCCCTCTGGAACCCGTCAGGAGAATCAGGCAGACAGGGAACTCTGAGCAGGACTTCTGCAGGGAGTGGACCCGGGCTGCCTGGCTCCTCTGCCATTCAGAGTTGACCAGGTCTGCGCAGGGAACCAGCAGGTCCAGACGGTGGTGGATCGGAACCACGTGGATCCTCCCTGGGTCCTCAGCGTCTGGGTGTTTGTTCTCCTGATCATCTCCATGCAGCACTATGACTTTTTCAGCATTATGTGAGTTTGGGAAGGAGAGTGGATCACCATCCAGCGGGTCTCTGCTCACTGGGCCGCAGCTTGAGGACGTTAGAGCTTCAGACCTGCGGTGATCAGGGTTTGGGTCAGTCTGAGCTCTGAAGCTGCAAGAACGTTACATCAAAGCACAGAGTCTACTTTCTCTATTTCTGCCAACAGGTTTACATGAGGAAGATGGTCTCAAGACTTATATTCAAATCAGCTTCTTTCTTTTGGACAGACTAACAGCCCCCCCCACCCCCTTACCAGCTGGAGACAGGAGGACAAAATGGTTTGGATCTCTAAAGGTGCCTCTTATTTAAACCTCCATAGAAGGAATTTGAGTTATTTGATTTGAAGAAATCTAAAAAATAAATTTTCTTATAGAGTGCACAAAGTGACGAAAGCTAATAAATAACTGGGCGGTGAGCTTTTTTGTAAAAGAAACAATAAAGTTTTATTTATATAGCCGCATATGGACATAAGACTTGATAATATCAAGGTGGCCTAATAGAAAAAAATAATAACCATGACTCCCCATGCCTTAGAGCACACAATAAGTATTCACATAATTTCTGGTTGTTTAGCAAAATAAATGCCATTTTTTTGTTGTTTCTTTGCTTTTTAAATATGTTAATTGTTTTGTTTTTATTCCTTTTTATAGCAGCATCAGTTAGCAGTACCTTAAATACTGTTCATGTTTTGAATTTTCTTTAAAGAGGCAAAAAGATCTTTCAATCCAAAACATTTAAATTACACAAAAAAGTCAAACATCAAAGTTTGTTTGGGGCTGCAGCAGCATCAAATGACAAGAAAGGAAAAATGTAATTATGTTGGAGAAATAGGGCAGAAAAAGGCAAAAGGGACAGTTTAAAAGGTGTGAAATGGAAAATAAAAACCAAGGGAAAAAATCTATTGAATAAATTCTAAATAGCAGCCATATTTTATTTTATTCACATTCATCAAAAATAAGGTTAAAAAAAGACACAAAAAACCCAAGAAAATATTCACACAGGAAGCTTGAGCATTGGCAGTCCTTAAAAGTACAATTCTCTGTGTATAATCTATGACACAACAGCGTCGTCATAGGGTGACATGGTGAAAATTTATTTTTAAAAAAAGAAAAAAAAGAGGAAGAAGTTTATATTCTTGGCCTTGCTTTTCACTGAGTTGCCACCCAGGCTCTATTTTCTGATCATCGTGGACAACAAAACGCTCTGCTGAGACGTATGGACAGAACTGCATGCTAGGGAGTTTTTCAAGTGGAAAAGGCATTTAATGCTGTAAATACAACACAGAGCAGAGTGCTGTGTAATTACAGCAGGACCCCAAGCACCGACAGTGGCTGATTCAGCCATAAAAACTGTTATTTCTGTAGGATCTTTGTATAATTTCATGCCACCCGCTGCAGCAAAGTGTCACCTTTGGTTAAAACCAAATGGATTCATGAGGCGATCTAATAAACTATGTGAAGAGTGGTTCAACCTGAAGGACTCTGGAAATGTGCACCAGTCAAAAACAGATCAATTCCCATCTGGTTTCAAGTCACATTTAAGCTTCATCTCTGTGCAGTGAATAAAAATGTAGTAGTTCTTTATGAAATTTAGCCTTTAGGTGTATATTTCAGCCTTTTCTCTAACTAAATAGAGACTTTCTGAAACACATGGTTAAAGTTAAAACAAAAACAGTGAATTTATTTACAGCTGATGCAATAATGCATAGAATACCCTGAAAGCGACAACCGAACACAGAAAACATTTCACCCAGAAGTTTAAATTACTACTCAATACTGTATTTGTTGACCATAAATACTAATGTTAGTATTTAAACAAACTAATAAAACAAAAAAACACATCAAAAATACATAGAAGTCGCCAAACTCACTCAGATTAAATCCGCTCTAAAAATCAATGTATTAGCTGCCGTAAATTACAATAAGTCCTCATACATCAGAGCTGATTTTAATGGTAGAGCGATAACACAGCTCCACTCAGTTAGATTTACACAATTTAAAGGAAAATACATGAAAAAGAACCAAAAAATATTGACTTACCCAGAGAGAAAAGTGGAAGCCTAACAGTTGACTGATCTACAAGTATTTCATTCGTCTCTGACCACACTGGACTATTTCACATTCTGCTTTGTAACAGGAAACAGGTTGTTGGTTAATTAGCACATACTGCAGAAGAAGAAGCTGCAGCAGCAGTTCCTCACCCATGGTGATTCAAATGTTCCCTCTGAGATCAGAGAGAGAAATACACTTCTAATATCTATTTCTGGACGTTTATATTTATACTTTAAGAGAGCCATTCAAAATTTCTGTTACTTTCTTTGCTATGCTGATGGAGAAAACCTGAGTCTGTAGTCATGTTCTGCAGCCTGGTAGATGGATGGAGCTGCTGGGTGGATCCCTGAATCGTTTCTCAATAGTGTTTACAGCAAAGTCCTATTGGTTTATATTTGCCAATGTTCTCTTTAACTTAGGACAGAGCTTTAATGCTATCAGTGTGGTAAAAGACACAGAAGACACATGTCAATAAAAACTTACAAGAATGAGTTCATTTTCATTTGATGTGTACAGCTTTACATGTTATCCTCCAACTTATTTACTTGAATGTGATGTCATCAAACATCAGAAAAAGACATTCCTCACAATTTGTATGCCGTTTCTCAATATGCATACTTGTGCGTTCTCGTGTGCTCATGAAACGTCACCAGCTGCAGCACTTTTTCAATTCACAAGAACACTAGACCAAGAATGGACATAATTCCCTGGGTGTTGTTCTCGTCCCTCCATTTTACCTGAGCATGCATCAGATCAGATTGACAGCTGTCCCAGCATGCACTGCGGCAGCAGCAACTTCCACAGGAGCGCTCACAGAGCTCAGAGTATTAGACTAAAAGTTCACTTTTCTGTTTCCATTGTTCTAAAAAGGTATGTTTTAAGATCATTTGAGGTGAGAACATTGTACTTTAAAGCTTCAATATATGGCCCAATTAGTGATTTAGTGCGTAATTAAAAAAAAAAACATTATTTCCAGAGAAATAAAAAAAAGAAGATTGGAGAACTGGAACAGGTGACGGAGTTGAGATGGGAACTTACTGATAATTTGCAAAAATGAGGAGGTGTTGTATGTTATACACTTAGAGGAAAAAGATATGATAGAGATAAAAGTCATTGGAGAGAATAAAACAGCAAAAGGAGTCATAACAGGAATGAATACCAATTAATGAGGATTGAGATAAATTAAAAATAAACATTTCTGAAGGCAAGGTTAACAAAAGCGACTTTATAAAAACAGATTGGAAAAGGGTGGCAAGCAAGTCACTGTTGATAGAGATTTCAGAGTCATTTCTATCAGAAGGAGTTAAAATAAGTTTAATGAGTTTCCCAGTTAGGACTGTTTTTCCATCTCCAATCTGGTGCTACAGTTGTCTGCGCTATGGACATGTTGGCAGCAGATTGTGGGGAAAAGCAAAGGTGTTAAAAATGTGGAGAAGAACTCAGAATCAAGGAGTGCAGGGAAGAAGCTGTAAGGTGAAGCAGAAAGGTGCTGCAACTGTGGATTCCAGCACAGAGTTAACTATGGAGGATGTGAGGTGAGAAAGAAAGCAGCGGAAATACAACACATTAAAACAACAAAAAAATATAAGCTAAGCAGAAGCAGAGAAGAGAGTTCAAGGACAAAAGAGGAGAAATGAATGAAGCACGGGATCAGGTACAAAAAATAAAATAAAGTAGAAAGAGAAGAAAACTTAACTCCAACAGAAAATCTGAATCGTTTCCAGAGGAGATACATTTTTAAGGAGTCAAAGAAGTTAGTTGGGAAAACATAGTTAAAGGTTAGAGATGGATGGATGAACAGAGGCATCTAGAGAGTATTCAATGTTTTAATAATTCAAGATGTTTAAAATTAAATGGATAGTGGTTTAATTAATATATGGATAGGTTAGAAAATGAAATAAAATTGATAAATAAAAGGGAAAGCAGTAGGATTTAGTTTATAAAATTAAGGATTTGATAAGTTGAGGGAATTGTTTGTAATAAGTGGTATTTATATAAGATAAATATACAGTATAATTGGTTATACTTAGGATACAACAGCAAAGCAGGTGAAATACATTATCTAAAACGCTGTCATTTTGTTCCACAAACCACACCGGTAGGTGGCGGTGATGTACATTTAAAGTGTCCGCCAGTCGCCATTAAACCCCACAACGAACAAGAAAGCTAACCGCAGCCACTGCTAACATTAGCTCGTCTGCAGCAGTGTTCATCATTACTTACCAAATAAATTAATAATAGTAATAATGTATCAATATCTACAGACTTAATAGCAATGAAGAGCCAGGCGAACTTAACATGATAAGTCACGGATACTTTGATCGACTCTAACTATAATACGCAATTTAAGGTCTATTAATTGATCAAACTGTCGCCTTATATACTTGCTTTTTTTTTATTTTAACAGAAGAAGAACGCCCCACCTCTCGGCAGGGCATCAAAAAATTGGGATAAACTCTTGTTGTTCCTCTCCACGGAAATCTTTAGTAAAAGGCGAAAGATTTATACGATCTGAAGAGAAACAAGAGTGCATACTCTGTTAAAGTTTAAGTCCCTGAAGCCATTCCCCATCATACCTATTTAACTCACGGTGCCACGAAGCTAAACTATGCGGGGTCGACTTTAAGTTTCAGAAATGTATGGACTTTATTATCCGTCATTCATTTTACCGAAAACATTAGATAAAAAAATGTATAAACTCGGCTTAATTAGTTAAAAAACAGTTTTAAAGAAATAAATCTGTGTGGACGCAATGCATGAAGGGAGTTGAGCGTGTTTAGCCACGCCTCTAAAATGGTAGCCCCCTTGTTTTCACTTTTATCTGATATGCTTACAGATGAAAACTGTTTACGCTTTTGTCTGACACAAATGCGTACCCCTGAACATGCGACTCATACTGTTATTGAATCGGTGCTGCATTTGTACAAAAGTCTCATACATTATATTTTGATTATTTTTAATTTCAAATAGAATCCCAACAGGTAGGTTTTAACAACTGCTAGTAAAGTCCGTGGGCGTTCAACTCCAACGAAGGGTACAGATTATTGATCACTGTTTATTTTTTATGATACTTCAGTGAGGAAATCAATAATCTGTGAAGCTAAAGGGACTAAATATTAAAAGTTGCCGCCGGCTGTTATATGCAGTTTAGCCACAGGGTGGAGCTATGGAGTCATTCAATTCTGTTAGCATTAAAAATACTGGGGCTTAAAAAAGTGGAACCGTACATTTTACTCTTTGAACATTAATATATTATTTCAACAAAGCTGCATGGACTGAATACATTCGGTTTTGATTAAAATGAAAGCTCTCCATGACCCTCTCATACTTCTGATATAAATAATGCTGTATAAATAGGAAGATGGACTTCGTCACATTGCATAAAACAAACCGATAGACATAACTTTTCCTTTAGTTTACGGCGCAATGCAAAGGCAGAAAGCTCAGGATCAAAGATATTTTCTGCTCCTGTCTCCAGAGCTGCCACTTCCATGTAAGGTAAAAGCAAAAAATAGAAGCTGCATTGCTATTAGTTGTTCTAAGTAATCATCTACAGCTTTAAAAACTGTTTTAATTCCCGTAATTGAAGGGGGAAACGGCAAGCTAACACCTAGTTCACCTTAATCAGCAGCTTAGTCACACTTCAACGTTACCTACATGTTCAGTCTCGCGGTCCGACTCTGGCGGCTGTGGTCTTCCTTTCAAATAGAGCCGATTCAGCAGAGAGCTGATCTGAAGTCAGCGTGGATGCGTGGAGGCAATGACAGCAGCCAATAAGAATCCTTTGTAGTTGATCCAGAATCAGGGACGAACATCGTCTTCTTCGTGACTTTTAATAGCTGTTGGCAAACAACAGTTTGGTGCATTACCGCCACCAACCAGTCAGGAGCGTGGACCAGCATTAACAAGCCAAAAAACAAAACAAAACATCAACTAACAAAAAAATATATAACTCATAATGAAAGAATAATTTTTTTTTAAATGCCTATAATATATTGTTCATTTTCCTGTTCTTTTATATGCCTCTGGTATTACCTAGGTATACATTACATGCTGTATTGTCTAATTTTCCCTAAAGAATTCACACCTTCCTGTTTCATGTTTTCCCATTTTATGTAATCTTGAGATAAGTCTTGTGTACCCAATCGTAATCTAATCATTATCATTTCCTGTATTCTGTTTATTCCAGTACATCTAATTTATCCAACATTCCCTTATATTATCTAACCATCCTTCTTTGATATCATCCTCCTACAGTTTTTACCATTTCTCTCAAATTTTCCCTTCGATAATTCTCTTCACCTCTGGTTCACTTAATGTGACTATAATTTAATTCACACTCTCTCGTGGATTATTTTGTCTCCTTTATCAGGCATAGTATTTCCCTTTAGCTCTTATATGTACAGGAACCCAAATAAAATGTAAATCTCATCATCTGAATGCAATAAAGTATTTGTTACATCTTGTTGTAGCTATCATCATGGCTGTCTGAATGATTTGATTGTAGACTGATTCATGAGGAATTGGAATCTGATCAAACCCCTGCTTTTAATGGCCTGGTCTCCCCAATCCATTCTACTAAAAGCATTATTGCAACCATTTCTGCAGTACAAACAGATAGGCATTTTTTTCCTAGATCATAATACAGATTCAGAGATGGATGGAAGATTTTAAAATCTGGAATAATAGCTGCTACCCATGTCTGTTTAGATCACGTATATCTATATTTTGCGTATAAACTTTTTATTCTATTATAGATAAGTCTACAACAGTATCAGGTAAAATTCAGGGTGGTAATGGATCAGTTGGACAGTTGAGGCTGGTAGAGCCTGGGCAACCAGGCCTGAGCCAGCACTTTAAGGAGTGAACTCTGAAAGTGACTCTAATGAGTAAAACAACTAGAAATACAACCATTGGACAAAAGAAAGGGACTGTAGCAATGGAGGATGAACTTGAGGGAATCAGGAAAACAAAAAGACACTAGAAGAAGAGCCTGACCAACTTAATACTATTTCTGAACAAGAACAAATAGTAGACTGGATAAAGCAAATGGCTGAGCTAAACAGAGGCAATGAGGCAAAGAACACCACAATCAAGGCCTAATGGTGCGTTCACACTGAACACGTTTTCTGTGTCAAAATCGCTAAAAGCGTTCTGGTTGTTTATTTACTCTGTTCTGAAGCTAAAAGCTAGAGAGCAGCTTGCCTTTATTTGCCTTGATGAGTTGGAAAAATTGTTTAAACATGTTTTTAAGCAAGAAAGTCCATCTCAAAACATCATCTGAGCAATCAGTTCATCAGGATTATAATCCTATTAAAACATGCAGTTCTTGTTCTGATCGGCAGACCTCGGCACATGGTGTCATGGCAAAGTAGGCACAGAGAGGGAAGAGCTGATTGAGTTCACCCCGCCTCAATTCCATAAGGGTAGTAGTAAAACATACAGACATTGGAAGTCAATATAAAAACAAATAGAGATTTAAGCTCTAAATAGCTAGCTCCTTAAAAAAAAATAATAAATCCAGGCAAGTTCTAACCGTAAAATATGTATTTAAATTAGACACCTGAAGATGCAAACGTTTTGTGTATTAGTCATGATCAACTACTGGATAAATTCAACATTTACACAGGGGGGAACAGGGTGCCACAATGACCTGGGACATTCCCTAAATGCAAACAATGACTGACTCCATTCAATACAGTGTTACAACTTTGGGAGTTGAATGCCACGGAGGAGGATTAGGGCCACTGACAAAAATTTTAAAAAGTTAACTGATTTTAAAATTTTATTTCAGTTTAATATGGGGGGACTTTTTTTTTTCCAGAATTATTACTTTTTTCTCAGAATTCTGACATTTCCCCCTATATTAAACTGAAATAAAATGTAAAAAATGACTGTACTAGTAGTTGTTAAACTTAACTGTAGGGATTCTATTTGAAATGAAAAATAAGGAAAACATAATGTATGAGAATTCAGTACAAATGTACCACCTATACAACAGTAGCAAACTCGTGTCATCAATCACAAAATTTACATTTAACATTTGAAGTGCTGGTTATAGCAGCCTTTTCTACACCCATCTGTTATAAACCATTTTACCCAAAGACACTTCATTTGTTTCTTTTTAATCAACGGTAGTTTTATGTTAAATTGTGTTAATCTTAATTAAAACGAAGTTTGATTCTTAATTTAAAAAAAAGCTGCAGAGTTGTTGGATGAAATCCAATTAGCATTAAAGGCTACTATAAATTTCGACGCCATGTTATGTTGTATTAAAGCGTAAACAGTTTTAATTTGTAAAGCATATCAGATAAAACTGAAAACAAGGGGGTTACCATTTTAGAGGCGTGGCCCAACTCCCTTCATGCATTGCGTCCACAGATCTTTATATTTTAAACAGTTTCTATCTAATTATGCCGAGTTAATAGAATGTTTACACCATGTTTCCGGTAAATTTATTGAAGGATAATAAAGTCCATAAGTTTCTGAAACTTACAAGTCGTCCCAACGTAATTTAGCTACGTCGCACCGTGAGTCAAATAGGTATGTTGGCGAATGGGATGAGGGACTTAGACAATTTCCGAGTATGCACTCTTGTTTCTCTTCAGATCGTATAAATCTTTCGCCTTTTACTAAAGATTTCCGTGGAGAGGAACAACAAGAGTTTATCCCAATTTTTTGATGCCCTTCCGAGAGGTGGGGCGTTCTTCTTCTGTTAAAATTAAAAAAAATTACAAGTATACAAGGTGACAGTAAGATGAATAAATAAACTTTAAAATACTTATATAGTTAGAGTCGAACAGAGTATCCGTGACTTATCATGTTAAGTTCGCCTGGCCCTTAATTTCTATCAAGTCTGTAGATATTGATACATTAATACTATTATTAATTTAGTTGGTGAGTAATGATGAACACTGCTGCAGACGAGCTAATGTTAGCAGTGGCTGCGGTTAGCTTTCTTGTTCGTTTTGGGGTTTAATGGCGACTGGCGGACACTTTAAAGGAACATTACCGCCACCTACCGGTGTGGTTTGTGGAACAAAATGACAGCGTTCTAGATAATGTATTTTACCTGCTTTGCTGTTGTATCCTAAGTATAATCAAATTATACTGTATATTTATCTTATATAAATACCACTTATTACAAACAATTCCCTCAACTTATTAAATTCTTAATTTTATAAACTAAATCCTACTGCTTTCCCTTTTATCAATTTTGTTTCATTTTCTGACCTATCCATATATTAATTAAACCACTATCCATTTACTTTTAAACATCTTGAATTATTAAAACATCGAATACTCTCCAGATGCCTCTGTTCATCCATCCATCTCCAACCTTTAACTATGTTTTCCCAACTAAATTCTTTGACTCCTTAAAACTTCATCTCCTCTGGCAATGATTCAGATTTTCTGTTGGAGTTAAGTTTTCTTCTCTTTCTACTTTATTTTGCTTTTGTACCTGATCCCGTGCTTCATTCATTTCTCCTCTTTTGTCCTTGAACTCTCTTCTCTTGCTTCTACTTAGCTTATATTTCCTGTTGTTTTATTGTGTTGCATTTCCGCTGCTTTCTTTCTCACCTCACATCCTCCATAGTTAACTCTGTGCTGGGATCCACAGTTGCAGCACCTTTCTACAGCTTCTTCACTGCACTCATTGATTCTGAGTTCTTCTCCACATTTTGAACACCTTTGCTTTTCCCCACAATCTGCTGCCAACATGTCCATAGCGCTGACACCTGTAGCACCATGGTTGGAGATGGAAAAA